GTTCCTTGCTCCGTGTTCCCGCACCGTAGCAGATCGTGACAGTATTACTCTTATCTGTATGACCAAAATGACAGATATTTGCAAGTGAGCGCATCGGCGGCTTTATCTGTCACGCTGTGAGTGCGCTACTGTTCAGATACTTGAATAGCACACATTTTTCTAGGTTAACACTAGATTGAGCAGCCATGTAAAGTTGCTAATACTTACATATTTCAGATGATAAGCCATATATGACTTCACCACTTCCTGTGGATTTTTTTTTTGTGTGACTAATAAAATTTTGGTCGACCAAGCCTCTTCTCGTCAACTAAACGTTAGTCGACTATTAGGGGGCAGCCCTACTTTTAAATATTTTAAATTGGTGCACAATATTTCTCTCTTCTATTTAGTTTTATTACAATTTTGCTTTTTTAAAGCAAAAATGTAACAATTTTTGAAATGTTTAATTTAAATGTTTTTTTTTTTATTAAAATGTTACATTTTTTAAAAAGTTTTTCAAATTTATTATTTTTTGTCATTTATTTTTTACTTTTTTTGGTTAATTGTTTACTTTAATTTGCTGTAAATTGGTATAATTAGCTTAAGCAATCAATTTTTGAAATGTTTAATTTAAATGTTTTTTTTTTTTATTAAAATGTTACATTTTTTAAAAAGTTTTTCAAATTTATTATTTTTTGTCATTTATTTTTTACTTTTTTTGGTTAATTGTTTACTTTAATTTGCTGTAAATTGGTATAATTAGCTTAAGCAATAATAAGGCTGGCTGTTATTTTTGGCGCTCCTCAGCTGCTCGTTTGGCGGTCCTCAGTGGAGCAAATGAAGAGGAGGAGGTCACTATCTACCAACAGACAAAGCTTCCTCCGCTCTTCCCTCTGGAAGAATTACAGGACGTCCACACAGGAGACAAAAATCACGCCAACACTCAAGTCACAGCTGCCAGTCGGCGCAGATCAAAAGTGGAAGCAGGAGCCCAAAGTGACATGGCCTTCAGCAGTCCTCTGGTGAGAACATAGATCAAAAGACGTTGATATCTGTGTTTTCGGGGTGAAGGTTGGGAATCCAGGATGATTTGGTTTGAAAGAAATGTCTCTTTCAGGCTTATTGTGAGTATTTGACTCTACCTACATTTTTGCAAACTCCAAAAGCATACCTATACATACAATGCAGTATCCAGCTGAAATGAACACTAAACAGTAAAACAGCTTTAATTTCTGTTCACACAAATTATGATTACAGGGCCGATTATCAATTAATAAAGACTTATTTTTACACAGTTCCTTGCACAATAGTGTTATGCCCTCAGAGCACTTTTACCATAGTGCATGATTTGTAAAATACATTTTGATGTTTGCATAACATACTGTAACCAGTGTATACATGACTTTTCTAATTTAGTAAACTTGCTCAGTAGCACACTTGGTACAGTGGAGATTTAATGCAATGCTTGAATACGTGCATTAACCAATATAATAAAATATGGCCACAGTCTTGTTTAAAGGGATAGTTCACCCAAAAATGAAAGTTTCAAGTTTTTCTCTCTTCTGTTGAACACAAAAGAAGATATTTTGAAGAATGTGGGTCACCAAACAGTTGACAGTAGCCATTGACTTCCATAATATTTTTGTTTCCATACTATGGAAGTCAACATCTACCGCCAGCTGTTTGGTGACCAACATATTTCAAAATATCTTCTTTTGTGTTTAACAGAATAAAGAAGGTACAGGTTTGGAACAACATGAAAAACTTTCATTTTTGGGTGAACTTGCCCTTTAAGTCTTATTTTTTTTTATTTTTTTTTATTAAAACAAGAAAACATATCTGCCAATGGGGTAAGAAAAATACCCTTTGAATTAAGTTTATTTTTCTTACCCCATTAGCAGATATTTGTTCTTGTTTTAAGCAGACACTAACAAAATTGATAAATTTTTCAGAAAACAAGACTTAATATCTCGATTTAAGAATGTTTAGATATTTGTAACGGAAAATAAGAAAATAATTCAGCAGATAAAAGGGAAGCTCTCAGATGCCCAACCAATAAAATAATCAATTATTGCAAATGACAGCATATTAAATAATTTGAATAAAGCCGAAATGTCATTTCTGACCCATTCTCCTGCATTCTCACGGTCTGCCCCGCAGATGGCCGAGCAGTTTGGTGTCAGTTATGAGCACAGCGATGCTGGCTCTGATCCGCTGTGTTTCGATCTGTTGACATATGGGGCCGCCGGGGTGCATTAAACATGGGCTACTGATACTGTACAGATCGTCTTGTGTCCCACTGCCTCTTCCTATGAAGTCGCGCCTTTTGTTGTCGTACGATGTCGTGTAATTTTCCGTCTATGGAAACAGACTGCATGGTCTTGTTGTGCATGATGTAATCGCAGCCGTATTTCCTCAAACAGGAAACAGTGGTGGTTCCAGACAGGAAGCTGATGCTGGAGGTGGACCGTCAGATGGCGAGCATCCAGACCGGGCCCTACCTGGACTTTTTTCTGGCTTTGGCCATCTGCAACACAGTGCTGGTTTCCTCAGTGAAGGCCCAAAAACAGAGGGTGAGAGCGAACGCTGACCTTGCTGGAGCCGAGAGGGTTGGGGACGTGCTCAGTGCTCTGACATGCAGCACAAAAACTGTCTAAACATTAACAATAATAGCCCGCCATGTAAACTACACCTCTTGCACACTGAGTACCTGTGGCTGCAGTCTCGTTGCCCCGAGATATTTTATTGCTGCCCCTGCATGACTAATTCTTCTTTGGCTAGTGCTTCGTTTTATAATTACTACATTTTAATTCTCAAGCAAGCACTTACTTGGTGCAGGCAATTAGATTTTTCATCAGTCACATGTCAGTCAACCACACATCCGTAATGAGTTGAGTCTGAGAGAGAAGTTTAGCGTAGCTGAGGATCCTTCACTGCTGGTCAGCGCTAATTTCCCAAATTGCACTCGAGGACCCCGAGCGAAGCACTTTGTCCAGGGTAGGAATTATATTTGGCCTCAGACCTGTAGCACTGAGACGTTCAAAGACATCGGGTCAACATTAATTAAGTTGATTACCAGTGGAGCATGATTGTATTACCCTGGGTCCATCACAACTTAAGAGGCAGTCACAATGTATGCAGATCCACAGCACCTGAAGAACTCCATTATTAGTGTCTTTTAGAGCATTATGAAGGAACATGGGCTCCGTTTCAATATTTGCAGTATTTCAGGTTTATCATAATTAACCGAGCACACAGTTATAAAAGAAAATCTGATGTAAATGATTCATTTCAGAATTGGGTTTTTACCAATTATAAAAAAAAAATAAAAAAAAAATGTGTGTGTATATATATATATATATATATATATATATATATATAATGCTTTTAAATACAACATCTACCTTTATCTCTACAGAGAGTAGACTATTTGTGATATTACAAATAACCAATATGTACACTACCGTTCAAAAGTTTGGGGTCAGACTCAGAACGATTTTTGCTTGCCAAGATTGTGTATTTGATTAAAATTACAGTAAAAACAGAAATATTGTGAAATATTCTAATTTAAAGTAACATTTGCATTTTTAATAAATTTAATTACATTTTCAGCATCATTACTCCAGTCTTCAGTGTCACATGATCTTCAGAAATCATTCTAATATGCTGATTTTGCTGCTCAAGAAGCGTTTATTCTTCATATTTATCAGTTATTATCATGATACATTTTTAAGGATAATTGATGAATATGAAGTTCAAAAGAACAGCATTTATTTGAAATAGTGTTTTGTAAAATTATAAATGTCTTTACTGTCAGTTTGATCGATTTGATGCATCCGTGCTGAATAAAATCTTTTATTTCTTTTTTTTATTTATTTATTTTTTTAATTGCATGTGAATTTCACATGCAATGTGCACATGTGATGTTAAGAAAGACTTAGGCTGTGTTCAAAAAACATGCATACTATGCATACTATTTCTGTAGCATGCATACTGAGCACAAAATGGAAATTGCCAGTTTGCACAGAATGTCTACTGTATTTGTCAAAAAGTGTAGGACACAACAGATCCCGTTGCGCTGGAAACTGTATGCAATGCACTTGTGAAGTAATGTTTTTTTTTTTACTTCGTTCTTGATTCATCATTTGAACAGACTGCCAAAATTAAGACTTTATTAAACAGACTTGATAATTCATTTTGGACATAACTGAACTCTACAAGCTAAATTGGCATGCAAGGTTTCAAATGCCTTTTAAAAAAATGCAATAATGCAGTAATGAAGCAGTAATACTGGTGTAATAATGCAGTATTCTATCATTCTGTACAGCATCTGTCAAGCAAATAATTGCTTGTATTTTTCCAGGTCAAAGGGCGCCGTAACTCCTCATACTCAGGAGGTTCATTTCATAACATGCGGCAGTGGTTCAGAAAGTGTGGTCTGGGAAAAGTTTTCACCTCCATGAAGTTCTTCAAGAGAGGCGTGGAGACACTCGCAGATCCTTTCTCCACGGATGAAGACGAGTCCGACGGGTTTCACAGCTCCAATGTCTCAGACGCCACGGGGCAGAAGGGGATTTCGAGTGAACGCAAGGTTAAAAGCAGTCCGTCTGGGTCGGAGGAGGTGTGTTACGAGGCCCACAGCCCAGATGAGGCCGCTCTCATACACGCTGCAAAGGCTTATGGGTTCAGCATGGTGGAGCGCACTCCTCATTATGTGACTGTCAAGCTGCCCAATGAAGCGCTGCTGAAGTTTGAGGTGTTGGACATCCTGACCTTTGACTCCACGAGGAGGAGGATGTCCATCATAGTGCGACATCCACACACTAAAGAAATCACCATGTACACGAAAGGAGCTGATTCAGCCGTCATGGAGAGACTGGGGAATGTTTTTTCAGGTGAGCATGAAAGATCAAAAACATGAAGCAGCGTACACCATTCAAAGCTTTGGGCTCAGTAAGGCTGCGTTTATTTGATAAAAAATACAGTAATATTGTGAAATATTATTAAAATGGAAAACAGCTGTGTTCTATGTAAATATCTGTTAAAATGAAATTTATTTCTGTGATCAAAGCTGTATTTTCAGCATCATTACTCCAGTCTTCAGTGTCACATGATCTTCAGAAATCATTCTAATATACTGATTTGCTGCTCAAGAAACATTTCTGATTATTATCAATGTTGAAAACAGTTGTGCTGCTTCGTATTTTTGTGGAAACGGTGATACATTTCATTTTTCAGGATTTTTTAATGAATAGAAAGTTCAAAAGAACAGCATTTGTCTGAAATGGAAGTTTTTGTAACATTATAAAAGTCTTTATTACTTTTTTATCAGTTGAATGTGTCCTCGTTGAATAAAATATATTTTTTTTAAATTCAAAATTACATAGATATTGTCATGTCCCCATTTTGAAACTAGATTTTTATTTATTTATTTTGTCTAAAGCAATTTTAATATGAACACAAATAATTGGACATACTGTAAATGAGCTTACAATGTTAGTTGTAACACGTTTTCACCTTTTCTCTTAAATGTAGCTTAATTATAGAAAATGTTTTTTAAATTTCTAAAAATGTATCATCATTTACTTGTTTTATTGTAAAATAAAGATTTTTTTTGTTTTTAAATGGAACCAAAATGAAGATGGTTAAAATAAATAGCTTGTTTTATTTAAACAATATTTTGTTTGGTTCCTTAATGGAACAAAAATGGAGATAAAAAGATTGTGATTGTGAATCTCCAAAATCCACATGAAAGTAAAGCATAATAAAAAGTATAATGATTTGTGCACTATATTCCAAGTCTTCTGAAATCATACGATATCTCAAGATAGCAAAGGAACAGGCTAAAATTGAAGTTTCCGGCATTCAAATGAAATGTAATTGAAATATGTGACCCTGGAGCACAAAAGCAGTCTTAAGTCGCTGGGGTATATTTGTAGCAATAGCCAACAATACATTGTATGTGTCAAAATTATAGATTTTTCCTTTATGCCAAAAATCATTAGGATATTAAGTAAAGATCATGTTCCATGTAGATAATTAGTAAATTTCCTACCGTAACTATATCAAAACTTAATTTTTGATTAGTAATATGCATTGCTAAGAACTTAATTTGGACAACTTTAAAGATGATTTTCTCAATATTTTGATTTTTTTTTTTTTGCACCCTCAGATTCCAGATTTTCAAATAGTTGTATCTCGGCCAAATATTGTCCTATCCTAACAAGCGTATTTATTCAGCTTTCAGATTATGTATAAATCTCAATTTTGAAAAATTGACACTTATGACTGGTTTTGTGGTCCAGGGTCACATATAGCCACCGTGGCAGATTTGAATGTGTGTGTGTCGTTTGTTTTTCACAGATATGACACAAGTGGATAGTGAGGCGAAGCAAGTTCCTGTAAAAACCCAAAAAGACCTTGACATGTACGCCAGGAATGGATTACGGACGCTGTGCTTTGCCAAAAAGGTAGAAGTTCTGTAGAGATCGTTGTAGTAAGACTAAATGTGTTGAGCAGTGGTGCTGATGGAAAGCTGTGTGTTTTTCTCTGAAGGTCATCAGTGAGCAGGAGTTCAGGGCCTGGTCGGCTGTCAGACAGGAGGCGCTGTCAGCCATGGATGAGAAAGAGGAGCGTCTCATGGAAACCGCAAACTTCATCGAGAGCAACTTCAATTTGCTGGGTACAGTCTGCGCTCCCTTCATGTGCCACTGATGATTGTCACTCTTAAAAATAAAGCCTCCAAAAGGGGGATTTTTTTGCAGCAGGGCCACAGAAGAACTATTTGGGGTTTCCCAGAAACCCTTTCAGTGAACACTTCGTACAAGAACCATTTTTTTCTTAGTGTGAAGAGGATGTTAATTAAAAAAATTAAAGAAACAAGGTTCTTTCCTTTTTCCACTGCAAAGAACCTATGGAAACTTGTTTTTTTTTTCTTGCTATTGTGAGTTAATATCGTGCAGTTCTGACTTTTTTCTCTGAATTCTAACCAATCACAACACACACTGGTCCAGCTAACCAATCACAGAACACACTGGCCCAGCTAACCAATCACAGCACATTTCGTATTTCAGAAGGCGGGCCTTCATTTGATACAGGAACTATTCGAGCCGTTCATGCCAGACTGGGGAGAGAGATGTTGTAATAATGTAAAATATGTGAAAAATAATGTGTTTTTCGAGCAACCTAGTATGAGAGCCTGTTCTAGTACACCCCCAAAACAAAATCAAGACTTTGTAAAAGAGCATATTAGGACCCCTTTAAAAAAAAATCAAGGTAATTGCAACTTTTTATCTCACAATTCCGATTTTTTTTCCCTATATATTTTTAGTCTATATCTCACATTTCTGACACTTTTTTTCCCCACAATTGCGAGTTTATATCTGTCATTTCGGTCCGTTTTCCCCTAGAATTCAGTTTACTTCTTGCAGTTCTGACTTTTTTCCCAAAAATTTCCCCAATTTTGTATTTCACAACTTTTTTTTTTCCACAATTGCAAATTAATTCCTCACAATTCTGCGACTTTATTCTCAAAATTGTGATAAAAGCCAGAATTGTGGATAAAAACACAGAATTATCTTTATTTTTTCTATCCCGTGGCGGAAACAAGATGACCTTTTGTACAATGGAAATGTTCAATTAATGTTAAATGTTCTTCACAGAATCATAAGTGCTAGTAAAGAATCTTCATTTTTAAAGGGGACATCGGATGCCCACTTTACACAAGTTGTTATGACTATTTAGGGTCTTCATGAAATGTCTGTAACATACTTTGGTTAAAATTCAGCACCCTTTTTACCTTGTCAAAAACAGCTCTGTACACAGCAACCCGATTCGGTGCATGTCTCTTTAAATGCTAATGAGCTCTGCTGACCAATAAGTCATAGCAGAGCCCCCGCCCCCTATTCCATAGAACGAGGCATTGTTGTCGCTACAGCTGCTCGAGCGCCAAGAAAATTGCAGACAGCGTACAACTGGCTGAGGGCGGAGATATGCAAATACGGGACAGTCCGTCAGCGGTCGTGGGCAGGGCCTGCACAGTATGATGTCATAGTGCTCAGAAAATCAAAACGGCTTGATTATTGAGCCTGTTTAGGTTTTTTGGTGTTTAAAAAAAGTAGTGAATGGATTTTTATCATTGTAGGGTTTATACGTTTATACATTTAAATGCAAACACCATGTAAAAGTGAATTTTGCATCCGATGTCCCCTTTAAGAGTGTAATCATATAAGATAACATTCAAAGTCACAGTTTCGGGAAGTGAAATGTAAACTGACCTTCTGGAGTCTCCCACAGGGGCCACCGGCATTGAGGACCGTCTCCAAGAAAGTGTCCCAGAAACCATCCTGGCTCTGAGACGAGCTGGCATGCAGTTATGGGTGCTGACAGGGGACAAACCCGAGACGGCCATCAACATCGCATACTCCTGCAAGCTGCTCGAGCATGAGGACCTGGTGTTCACCTTCAGCACCAACAGGAAGGTACTTCAGTCTGCTAGTCAGTGCCAACTAACTAATGCTTCTGTAACTGAACAGAGTTTGACCTGTGTTAGTCAACCAGCTTCATCAGAAAAATTAGGTTGGTGAACAGCATCAAGTTTGTACAACGGTGTTTTAGTGCCACGTAAAAAAATAAAAAAATTAATAAATCTAATATTTTGAGAATAAAGTCAAAATTACGAGAAAAATATCATAGCAATATGAGATTAAATTCTTAATTATTTTGAGAATAAAGTCGTAGCATTAAATACATGTGAAGAATGAAAAGTTGGACTCCACAGACGGTTTTTGTGGAGCAGGTGGAATTTTCACATTATTTAACTTTAGTCAAGCAATATACTACTTTATTCTCAAAATATTACGACAATTAATCTCGTATCGCTATGACTTTACTCTCATAATTTTGACTTTATTCTCAAAATATTACGAATTTAATCTCATAATGATATGACTTTATTCTCAAAATATTACGAATTTAATCTCATAATGATACGACTTTATTCTCAAAATATTACGAATTTAATCTTATAATGATACGACTTTATTCTCAAAATATTACGAATTTAATCTCATATTGCTATGACTTTATTCTCAAAATATTACAAATTTATTCTCATATTGCTCATAATTTTCTCGTTATTTTGACTTTATTCTTAAAATGTTACGAATTTAATCTCATATAGCTACGACTTTACTCTCAAAATATTACGACTTTAATCTCATATTGCTCATAATTTTCTTGTTATTTTGACTTTATTCTCAAAATGTTATGAATTTAATCTCATATTGCTACGACTTTATTCTCAAAATATGACCAATTTAATCTCTTATTGCTATGACTTTATTCTCGTAATTTTGACTTTATTCTCAAAATATAACATTTTTAATCTTGTAATCTTAGATTTTTTTTATTTTTTATTTACATGGCATTAAAACATCGGCGTACATTAGCTTTCTTAAACCGATATCTCAGTAAGAGCATGTTGAATATTTGTCATGTGTTGCGTGTGCATCTTGTTTGGGATTTAAAACACTGAACCCGCACAAAAGGAAAAGGTTAATTGGTTTATCTGGGACGACAGAGGCTTCAATGTTACACAGTTTCATCCCCTCAAGAGTGACGTTCTCCATAGCGTGTTCAAACACACAAACGCGCTTGCAACAATTTGTCAGATATGCTGTTTTTCATTTCATGTCTGCCTGAGTCTGTGTTTAAGAGCGCTGAGAAAAAGAGCATTCACCGTTCTGAATGGCTTGGATTGCTGTTCTGTAATCCCATTTTCACACTTCTGAGGAGGGCAGGAAACCGTTCTAGTTTCATTTCAACATTAAATCTCCCCCCGAAGACTTCCACATATTGTTTTACACACATTTTATGAAATGCCTCATTTTGTGCATCTAAAACCTTCACTTTCCGTTGTCCTAGTTTTTCATGTGTTACAAGATCATTTATCACCATCTTATATATCTTAGTTTATTCCCTAAATCTGTGTGGAAATGAGAGAATCATAAGCCATTTATGTAACATACTGAAATTTCATTTAGCCATAACCCAGATATATTCTCAAACCAGTCGTGTTAAAACATATTGCAGTGCCAGACTGAAAAGTATGTGGATGTGACTTCACGACATGATGATGTCTCAACTCATGAATATTAATTAGATCATGATGTCATTGCAAGATAACATGTCCATTCACGTAATCTCATTTAGGATCAGATATGAAACGCTTGATGTGACGTCATGCTTAGTGTGTGCCACAATGCTCTTGTGATAAAGAGGCAGCAGTTGATCTTCACTGCAAACTGAAAGCATGATGGGAAATGACTTGCTGACATCACAGCTTAGATGGAAGCTCATTGGCTTAGAACAACTGTGATGTTTTTGTCTTGTCTACAATGTTAGTCTGTTATCTCTAATATCATTTAGACTAAAAATGGATAGAGAAAGAATAAATTAAATGATAGGTACCCTACTTTTTAAAAGTCTGGAGTCAATAAGATTTTTTATTAAAGAAATTAATACTTTTATTTAGCAAGGATGCATTAAATTGATTAAAAGTGCCAGTAAAGACATTTATAATGTTACAAAATATTTCTGTTTCAAATAAATGCTATTCTTTTGAACCTTCTATTCATCTGTGATTCCTGAAAAATAAAATTGATCACCGTTTCCACAAAAATATGAAGCAGCACAATTGTTTTCAACGTCGATAATAATAATAAATCAGCATATTAGAATGATTTCTGAAAGATCATGTGACACTGAAGACTGGAGTAATGATGCTGAATATTTAGCTTTGATCACAGGAATAAATTACATTTTAAAATTTCCAAAATAGAAAACAGTTATTTTAAATAGTAAAATTTTGGATCAAATAAATGCAGGCTTGGTGAGGAGAAGATCATTTTTTAAAAACATTAAAAATCTTACTGTTCAAAAACCTTTGACTGGTAGTGTATATATAAATTATATATATATATATATATATATTTGAAAAAAAAAATTCCCTGCCAAATCGAAATCGTGTTAGAAAAAAAATAAAAAAATAAATACATTTATATATATCGAGAGGACCCCTGCAGACCCTCATGACTTTGTGTCAAGGTCAATAAGTCTTTTAAAATATCACATAATTTCAGATTTTTATGACAAGACAAGGTTAGTTCAGGCTGTAAAGTGTCATGTGGTGAGACTCGCCCAAATCTGTCAATCACATTAACAGTTCATGACATTGACAAAAAAAAACAAAAAACTTTTTACCATGCGAAATGTTTAAAAACATTTTTGAAAATGCCAATTAAGATTACGTTTCGCCCTTTTTTCTATGACTTTATTCTCGTAATTTTGACTTTATTCTCAAAATATAACATTTTTAATCTTGTAATCTTAGATTTTTTTTATTTTTTATTTACATGGCATTAAAACATCGGCGTACATTAGCTTTCTTAAACCGATATCTCAGTAAGAGCATGTTGAATATTTGTCATGTGTTGCGTGTGCATCTTGTTTGGGATTTAAAACACTGAACCCGCACAAAAGGAAAAGGTTAATTGGTTTATCTGGGACGACAGAGGCTTCAATGTTACACAGTTTCATCCCCTCAAGAGTGACGTTCTCCATAGCGTGTTCAAACACACAAACGCGCTTGCAACAATTTGTCAGATATGCTGTTTTTCATTTCATGTCTGCCTGAGTCTGTGTTTAAGAGCGCTGAGAAAAAGAGCATTCACCGTTCTGAATGGCTTGGATTGCTGTTCTGTAATCCCATTTTCACACTTCTGAGGAGGGCAGGAAACCGTTCTAGTTTCATTTCAACATTAAATCTCCCCCCGAAGACTTCCACATATTGTTTTACACACATTTTATGAAATGCCTCATTTTGTGCATCTAAAACCTTCACTTTCCGTTGTCCTAGTTTTTCATGTGTTACAAGATCATTTATCACCATCTTATATATCTTAGTTTATTCCCTAAATCTGTGTGGAAATGAGAGAATCATAAGCCATTTATGTAACATACTGAAATTTCATTTAGCCATAACCCAGATATATTCTCAAACCAGTCGTGTTAAAACATATTGCAGTGCCAGACTGAAAAGTATGTGGATGTGACTTCACGACATGATGATGTCTCAACTCATGAATATTAATTAGATCATGATGTCATTGCAAGATAACATGTCCATTCACGTAATCTCATTTAGGATCAGATATGAAACGCTTGATGTGACGTCATGCTTAGTGTGTGCCACAATGCTCTTGTGATAAAGAGGCAGCAGTTGATCTTCACTGCAAACTGAAAGCATGATGGGAAATGACTTGCTGACATCACAGCTTAGATGGAAGCTCATTGGCTTAGAACAACTGTGATGTTTTTGTCTTGTCTACAATGTTAGTCTGTTATCTCTAATATCATTTAGACTAAAAATGGATAGAGAAAGAATAAATTAAATGATAGGTACCCTACTTTTTAAAAGTCTGGAGTCAATAAGATTTTTTATTAAAGAAATTAATACTTTTATTTAGCAAGGATGCATTAAATTGATTAAAAGTGCCAGTAAAGACATTTATAATGTTACAAAATATTTCTGTTTCAAATAAATGCTATTCTTTTGAACCTTCTATTCATCTGTGATTCCTGAAAAATAAAATTGATCACCGTTTCCACAAAAATATGAAGCAGCACAATTGTTTTCAACGTCGATAATAATAATAAATCAGCATATTAGAATGATTTCTGAAAGATCATGTGACACTGAAGACTGGAGTAATGATGCTGAATATTTAGCTTTGATCACAGGAATAAATTACATTTTAACAGATATTCACACAGAAAACAGCTATTTTAAATTCTAATAATATTTCACAATTTTCACTATATTTTTGATTATATAAATGCAGCCTTGGTGAGTATAAAACATAAAAAAATGTTGACTGCTGGTGTAAACTAAATTACCAGTTTATTGCATTCATTTCATACATTCATGTAAAAGCAGATGTGTTTTAAAAACATGCAACAAAAATAGTTTTTATATACTAACGCAGTCTCTGTTATATGTCAGTCTGTGTGTAAAATGAGGTTGGAAGACACACTGGGAGAGCTGCGACGGAGCACACTGGCACCCGGAGCGGACCATCAGTTCAGGGGTTATAACTCAGCGTTTACTGGCCCACTGATGGAGCCCAGTATCGGGCTGGTGATAGACGGGCCGACTCTGAGCATGGCCATGTCAGACGAGCTGGTGGAGCAGTTTGTGGAGCTCTGCAAACACTGTCGTGCGGTGCTTTGCTGTCGAGTGACGCCGCTGCAGAAGAGCGCCGTGGTTAAACTCATACGGCAGAAACTGAGGGTCATGACCCTCGCCGTAGGTAATGAAACCTTCGATTTGAGGCGGAGGGCTTTCTGAAATCATTTATAAGATTACTTTTCCGCAGGTTCGTGAAGTGCATTGGTTTTCTGTCGCGATACATTATGATTTGTGTCGATGCAGGTGACGGCGCCAATGATGTGAACATGATTCAAGCTGCAGACGTTGGCATTGGAGTTTCTGGACAGGAGGGCATGCAGGTTTGTGTTTTCGTGTTTTATAACTCACTCCCAGGTGAAGATAAAGCACTGCAATTATGTATCAATCCAAAAAACTAAAAAAAACATGAACACTGACACAGAAGCTAGGATAGGTGTGGTATGTGTTGGGTATGTGTCATTATTACATTATTATTATTACGATTGTTATTACATTATTATTATTATTATCATTACATTTATTATTATTGATATTACTGTTGCCGTCATCACA